TTTCCATAGGGCGACTCTAAAGAAAAGGATGTCGTCTAGGAATTCATCTGTTAGTGGTACTCAAGTTATCTAATAACAGTATGCAATGAACCCCACGTTATTCAGTTGAAATACATTTATTGATATAATAAAAGTACTCCAAACAGAGCTGGGGATCTTGCTTGTTGGTAGAATTCCTATTCATTGCATTAAAGGCCTTGGGATCGATTCCCAGTATGAAAATAATGCAAGTAAAACAATAATACTATGAACATACCTTTTCTAACATACATCTAGCTTTGGTTAATGAAATATTTTAGTTAGGTTCTATAGTGTTTGAAGAAGTTTTACTATCTTAGGCTATAACTTATGTTCATTTACCTTCCTCAATACACCTTGTCTTTGGAGTTCTGGTGGTAGTGCATTATGAGTGAAAATGAGAATTCTTTCGTAGTTTGCTAGTTTTCTCAGTACGCCTCATTAATCTCAGCATTGGTGGAACATTTGTTTCTATTGTACTTGTGCTGAGAACTGAGAGCTAAAATGATTGCCCATATAGTACAGTTGATCTAAAATTTTCCTCTTGAGACAAGCAAGAAAATACCTTTTCTAGCTATTTCATCAGTATTCACAGAATGGCATTCCTATAGCATCTGCCTAATACTAAGAAAAGAAATGAATTTGTATTTTGGTGGTTAAAACCTTGCATCAGAAAATGATCTTACCTATAGTAAGTAAAAAACAGTCTTTTACCATAAAATAGAATTGAGGGTGGTAGTAATGTGAGATTATATCATATCAATTTTAATAATGCTTAGAGAACAACTTTTAAGTTATCAAATTACTTATGTCATTCTTACAATTTTTTTTCTTTTAGATACAAAAGTTTTGCAGTACTATTTCAATTTGGGATTGCAGGTAGGAGTATGCTAAAATTATTTTGATAAATCATAAACTATAATCTTCTTTTGAAAAATCAGAATCTTGAAGTTTAAAAAGCCAAGAACAATTTGAGGCCTTAAAAATCATATTTCTGTTAAGAGAGATTTGAAAATGATAAAGGCCAGTTCTCTACTTTAGTGTGGCTCAGTTTTTCTTATTATAATGTAGTGTTAAATTCAGGAGAGTGGGGACTGGACTCTAAGCAGTACAACTTCACATATATTAGCCTTCATGTTCAACATTATATGCCAACCCTTTACTATTACATACTGAAAACAAATGGATTATTTATTCTCTATACTTAATATTTATACATTTTCTGTGAAAAATAATGAGACTTAATTGAAAGACATTCAAATAACTGTATTTTTAAAACACTCACATGGTCAATGATGCTTGGCAAACACTCCCCTGAATTTTAGAGGTGTAGGTACTAATATATATCTTTATCACTAAAAGGTGTTTCTGGTTTGAGGAGCTAGGGATCATTTTTCTCCCTTAAACACACTTCACTTCTAACTAATGCAGTAAGATTTGCTGAAAAGGAATCGTGTACTAAGGTTGGGCAGATGGCAGATGATAGCAAATTATAGTCTCTTAGATAAGGCTCAGATACTTCATAGTGCTTTGTGATAATTTCCCTAAAACCTTAGACATATGTTCCAGAAAACTGTTTTCCACAAATAGAACATTTCTAAATTAGAGTAGTGGACTGGGTATTTGTTCTGAGATATTCTTTCTAAATATAGTTTTAAAAATTGATAAATTACTTGTCGCTTCAGCTATATTAGTTATTACAGTCACACGTGGAAGCTTTTATCTATAATCCACAAAACTGAGACACTTGAAATATTCTCCTCACTAGTCATGACAGTGCAGGAAGCTGAGGTGGGAGAATCATTTGAACTAAGTAGTTCAGAGTAGTTTGAGTAACACAGAGAAAGCCCATCTCAACAAATAACCTTCTTGCTGTTTAACATCATAAGAATACTAAGGGATGAGTAATAGATATTTTAGTATTTTTTCATATTAAAAGTACTAGTAGTGTTCATTATAGTGTTTTTGGGAAATACGAAGGTATTAAGAAAAAAATCACCTGTATAACCACTGTACATTTTGATACAGTTTCTTGTAGCTTTCTAATTTTTTGTTTAAACATTTTTCTAATCGTTTAACTCATTATGAATAGCTTTTTTTCCTTAAATATTTGAAATCATGATTCTTTGCCCATGTATTATTCTGCTGCTGTGGCTATATAATAAATGTCAGTTCCCTATTGTTGAATACTTAGGTTATTTAGTAATCTTTACTCTGAAAAATAATGCTACAGATGGCATGTTTGTACAAATCTGTTCATATGTCAGATTTCCTTAGCATGCTTTCCTAAATCAATTCCTATATGAGCCACAGGTGGTACAAAAAAAATCTTAAACTTCTACCAAAATTTTTGTAAATGTCAAATGATGTAATACTTGAAAACTGAGACCTTATTTCTTTAAGCTAGGAATTACACTACTTTAACAATAGGAAACAATAAGGATTTGGAGGTTTTATTTAGTTGTTGCCTTTTCTTGCTCCAGTGCTATCATCACAACTACTGGAACTCCATGGTCTATGTGCCACACATGGAGCAGCAGCAGCTTCATGTAGAGAATTATCCAGTTTGTATTGAGCAGCCTCTGGTAGACCAAACTATTCCTCACTTGTACAGTGAGGTAGGGCGAGCAGATGACACACAGGCAGAAGCATCAACAAGTGGTGAGTATGTAATGAGATTGCCAGTAAGAAAGACAATTGGATTTTACTGTGTTTAACTTAATTATAGCCTTCAGATGTTTCATTAAATCTGTATACTTTTAGGCTGGCTGTTCCGAACATGTGATACGTAGGTGCCTTTTGGTCCTTGAGATGCTTCAGAGGATTCATGAGGACAGAAGTATTCACAATACTAAAATTTTATTTGTTCTTTCACTTTGTAGTACTGGGAATTGAACATAGGCTAGGCCTTATGTATTCTAGGCAAGAGTTCTACCACTGAGTTATAATGCCAGCCCATTCTTTGAGTTCATTATATTTACATTCAAGGTATTAAAATTAATGGTGAATAAATTGCTAGCCCCTCAGAAAAGAATCAAGGCACTGGCACCAAACTGTGCTGGTCAACAGGTATCTTCTTACTACCACACACTTGTACAAATTGTCCATTTTATGTTTATTCAAAGATGTTCCTTTTTAAAAAATACAAGATAAATCATTATTCTTGAATGATTACATTTAATGCTTTTGTATGACAAAAATAGAAACTATTCACAAAATACTTCTCCATACTGAATGAAGTGTGATTATTAAGGAAAAGTACTTGTGTTCTTGAATTACTTGCTTGCTGACTGACATGGAATTTTGTTTTTTAACTCTAGTGGTATACAAACAATGTTTGATCTGACCAGACCAACATTTTCTCAAATGGACAGTATAAACCTGTTACTTAAAGGAAAAACAACTGGTTTAATTAGCTGTCAAGAAAAATTCTAGGTTTTCAAATAGAGTTTTTATAAACTTTTTTGGAGTGTTTTTGGAGGGATTTTTTTTTTTAGAGATGGGGTCACCATTTAGCCGCTGCTAGCTTGGAACTCAGAGATCCTCCTGCCTCTGCCTCTGCCTCTGCCTCCTGACTGCTGAGCTTAAAGGTGTGTGCCACCATACCCAGCTTTTGTAAATTTCTTAACAGCTTCTCAGTAATTACCATTTTTCTAATAAGATTGTTGGTGCTATTAGTGGACATATTTCTTAAATTGCTTAATGAAGTGTGTTCACATTTGCAAGATCCATTTAAGCCACCAAAGTACTGGTTTTCCAATTAGCAACACATGATGTCTCCCATGCCTGATTTCGTAAAAGACTATCTAAACTTCAAGATGCAATAGATTTTAATGTAACAATGGAAAATCCACTTTGCTACTGATTTTGAGAAACTATCAAGTAGTTTTAAAGTAGCATCATCAAAGACTAGCTTTAGTTGTCCAAGAAGCTTATTAATAAAAAAGACTTTTCCAACTACATGTCTATGTGAAGCCTGATTTCTTCATATACTTGAACTAAAACAATGCATAATATATTAAATACAGAAATATATATATGTATATAAATAAGAATCCAACTGTCTGTTAATTAATGCATTAGGCATTTGGACAAATATAGAGTAATGGCAGCACTCGACAAATTTTTTGTTTTGGAAATTACCTATTTAAAATTATTTTTATATACTAAGCTTATTTTTATACTTAAATTCCTAATACAATAAACATAGGTCACATAAAGGCTTGGGAGTTATCAGCTTTTTAAAATATAAAGGGATTCTTAGACTAAATGTTTAAGAACCACTATGTTACACTATAAGAACAGTTTTTCTATGAGTTCACTATAATACAAATGGGAAAGAATTTAGGGGAATTTAGATCATGCTCTTGATCTTTTTAGAGGGAGAATAAGTTATGTGAACTAATCAAATCTGTTTCACAGTTCAACATGGCTACTTATTGGATGTGATATTGACTAAGTTACTTAAGCTCTCTAAGCCGAATATTCTGTAAAACTGGAAATACCTGATTTGTAGGGGGTTGGTTATGAGAACTTACAGGCATCTTATATGTAAGTATACTATGTCAGGCAACATAATAGGAATACTTGTTTGCTTTCTTTCCTCTTCCCTTTAAGCATGCTAATGGTTTTAGAATGTTATATACTGGAAAATCTTATCCATTGTATATTAGTATGATGTAGCTCATTGTAGTAAAGAATAAATGTCCATCTCTATTATACTTTTGTGCAGTGTACCTTCTGTATAGCTATTGTTAATTTTAATAAATGATGAGACTGTAGCAGTTTCAATTTCCCAAATGAGCTAATCTAAAGTAGTCCAAGTGATAAAAGATCCCTTTTGATCTAATTTGTATAGTCACAATAACTGGGTCAGAACAGTATTTCCACTATAACTGGTAGCATAAGTTCTGAAAATTAAAGTAATGGTACAATCTTTAATGACATGTGTGAGAACATAATTTTAGCATGATTTTCACAACTCTAGCTTCAAGTATATACCAGGTTATATAGACAACTGCGATTTTTTTCATTCCGAAGTGGTTCACAGTGGATGTTTGAATGTTAGGTACTATACTAGAAAGTTATTTTATTTATTATTTTAATTTTAAGTGTATGAGTGTATTGCCTGCATGTGTGTAAGTACACCCGTGTCATGCAATGCCTGCAGAAGTCAGAAGAGGGTGTCAGATACCCTGGAACTGGAGTAACAGATGGTTGTTAGCCACCATGTGGGTGCCAGGAACTGAACCCGGGTCCTCTGCAAGAGCACTCGGTGCTTTTAACCACTGAGCCATCTCTCCAGTTTAAACTTGTGTGTGTGTGTGTGTGTGTGTGTGTGTGTGTGTGTGTGTTCACACGCACGCTCATGCGTGTGCTCATGGGCCTTGGTGCCCATGTAGCTGTCACCGGACAACTCACAGGAATCAATTCTCTCCCTTTACCATATGGATCTCTAGAATATTCATTTACATTTAGTGAACTTTTTTATAATAGAGCATACTATACCACTTCTTTGTTTCAGATGCTTTCCCCAATGCTGATGATGCACCTGTCCCTCATGGAGCAGTCTATTATCCAGTAATGTCAGATCCTTATGGGCAGCCACCTTTGCCAGGTTTTGATTCCTGCATTGCTGTTGTTCCTGAATATCCCTGTGTTGCCTCCTGGCATCCAGTTAGTGCAGCATATGGTGGTTCTTCCCCAATTCGTGGTGCTGTTAATTCTGGGCCAGTTGGCTATATGGCTCCACCTAATTCACCATCGCAATATACACCTCACAATATGTAAGATGTGGCAATATGAAGTATTCTTTACTGCCAATTTTTACTGTTTTGATCAATAAAAATGTGTTATGTTTCTAAGTGCTTTAGTTGGTAAGAATGGTTATTATTGTATCTGTCTTTACGATTATTTTTTGATTTAAAATATTTCTTTAAAACAAAGGCATATTTGAGTTACGAATAAGGAAATTGAACTGAATATATACAATTAGTCCTATACTGAGCAAATTTGTTGTAGGCAGTTGCCTCTCAGCCAGTTTATGAACATTTTATTGCCTGATAGTGCCCATTGATAAAAGAAGCAAATGCAAGCTATTTTCTTGTATAAAAATGATACATCTTATCCAACTGTTTAAAATTGGAATGATTTCTACTGTTGTAGAAAGTTAACAAAACCAAGAGCCTTTGCTTCTGGGTATTTACTTAGTATTAAATGAAAGTTCTTCAGGTTTCTTTAAAAATTGTATGAACTGAATTATATTCTGTGATAGTAATCAGTTTTGAAGGCACAATGGTGCTCTTTATATTTGCCACATACGCTCTTGTTATAATACTGGATTTATGTAACTTACTGCACAGTATTAGTGTCTTTTGCACAATTTGCAGCAAATAAAAATTAGCATTTAAAATTGCCAAAACGAGTGGACTCTTCTTTTTTGCTTTTTGATAGCAGCAAAGAGAACACCAGACATTTAATTGTTTCATCATGCTTTCTCTCATGTTATGGTTGCAGAAGAATGAATTTATAGCTTGAATTAGTTAGAAGTTGTAAGGCCACTGGAATGTGGTTACAAAGAAACATACGAGTTTTAAAAGTAGTCCAGAAAAATAGTATAGCTGCTGGCTGTCTTGGGAGCTCTAGCATGTCTGTGGCTGCTTTAATTTACATGTCCAAATTATTGCTGCTGTTAACATTTTTTTCTTCCCATGATATTATGGGTTATACCAGGCACTTGAAACTTAATATTTTAGTCTCTCATTTCTTACTAAGGATGCAGTAGAGGCTGAGGTGATCAAGATTGAACTGGAAAATGTTTGGTGTGGCACTAAGGAAATGGGTGTGCAAAATACAGAATCTTGCATGGTCTTGAAAATGAGAAGACTACATAGTATTTAGAATTTGTCTGTGGGTTAACTGAACCAAGTGGAAAGTTACAGCCGTTTAGAAATAGCTTAAATCAAACTAACACATTAAAGCCATAGTCTATTCCAGGATCTGTGCTAGGTAGTGAAGATAGTAGAATACAGAAATAACTAAAGAGCAGTAGTTATAACCACCAATGCTTTTTAAACACTGAACATTGAATGAGTACCAGTTATTTTCCTGGGTTTGTTTGAGGCTGGGTTTCATGTCTCTTAGGCTGGTCTCAAACTTGCTGTGTAGCCAAGAATATTCTTGAGCTTCTAATCCTCCTGGATCTACTTCCCTAGTGCTGGGAAGGTAGATATGTGCCACCATGTTCAGTTTTTTTTTTTAATATTCTTTTTTTGTTTTTTAGAAGAAGCATATCATTACAGCTTTAACATAATAACAGTTTCCAGAGCAAAGATACATCTCTTTCAAAAGTGGCTATAAAATTTTTAGGTTTGCTATTGAATTAATACAGTTATACATTATTGAATTCAGTATAAGCCCTGTAAGACATAAAATTGAATTTTTAACCTTTAAAAAAGATCTCCATTTCATTTTAAAATACACTGTTTCTTAAAGAAAGACTCATTGTTTTTCCTAATAACGCTGAGATGTTGGCGCATGTGTTTCTAATCTATTTGTATCTGTTTATTACTAGTCAAAATCGATTGCACTTGGATCCCTGGCACCTGTGTATGTCTAGTATGTCTATAAAGTCATTGGGTAGATTTCAGTGATAATGTTTATCACATCTACTAATTAACAAGACATATTTTATGCTTCCTCAAATACAATTCATTTTTTTTAATTTGTTGATTTTGTGTGTGTGTGTGTGTGTGTGTGTGTGTGTGTGTGTGTGTGTGTGACACAGAACATCCCAAACCATCTTATCTATACACCAACTTCCCAGATGGCACCCTCCCATAGCCTCTTCCCCCCCACTAGAGTCCTTCCACTCTGTTACCCCTGCTACTGTCCACTGTGTTGTCAGCACCCCTAGCAGTTCCCACTGCTTGTCCATTTGGTGAATCTAGTCAGCCTATTTAGAGGGCTTTGTTTTAAGAAGGTCAGTTGTTCCTCATCGAGCAGCAATCAGTTGTCAGTACTCATTTAGGTAAGATTCGGGTCTGCTGTTCATTTTCCTAGTTCTATACTGGGTTACTATCTGGGAGTCCCTTGGGCCACCCTGGCCAACAACTCAAAAGAAGATATCCTATCTGTCGTTGTTATGTAGCCTTTAGCTATACATATGGACTCTTAAGAAATTATATTGGCCCCTCTAGTCTTTGGTTATACTTTGCATTTGGGTGTTTAAGGCCATACAGTTGGCCCAGATAAACTAATTTATCTTTACTCTTAAGGTCGTTTGAGGATCTGTTCCCCAGAGGTCACATGGGCTTCGGAGGAGCCCCTGGCTCCTTTCTTTTACCAGTTTTCCCTATGTGAAGATAAGTCAAAGGTCCTGCTTTACTGTGGCTGGCTTCACTGGAAGCATGGAGGAAATGTTTCCTCTGTGTTGACCCTCCTCTTTGTAGACTGGACAGTGGTTCAAGTCCATCTGGTGGGGTCTCCTCGGCCTCCTTGATCAAGAGGAGAGGTGACCCACCACATTTACAGGACATTTTGAGAGATGCTCATAGTCCCCTGGAACTAGTCGACCTAGGAGGGCAAGGAGCAAAATCTGTCCTTTAGGTCCCTCTGACAAAATTAGGCCTCAAAGTATGTCTGTTAAATATCCAAGAAGGTTAGTTCTACCAGTGTGGTACTTTTAATTACTGTGTGCCATGTAGATAAAGCTTGGGCAAAGACCAGTTCTCAGATAAACCTTGCCTAGACATGTATTTCTTGATCTGGTATGTATAATTTGTCAGTAGGTTGTTGCACTAATATGTTTCCCTCTGGTTTTAAAACTAGCTAGGCATTATTTGTCTCTCGCATTGTCTAACCCCTCCATCATGGTTTCCCCAATTAAGGTGCCCTCATTTTCCCCTTCTCCCTTAATAATACCCACTCCTATGGTCCCACCTCTCTTGAGCTCCTTCTTTCCCTTTATCCCCTAGGTTCCTTGTATACCCTTCTCTTTGCCCTCTCTAAAACTAACCCAATTTTTATCCATATCTCCCTGATTCCTACTGTTCTTCTCTTTCAGATTCTTTCTTTTCCTTTACCTCCCTGTTTCCTTTCCATTATCCTGGTTCCTGTAGTTATGTCTGGAAACAGACTCACTTATCCGGATTTGGTTCTTGGATCCACATATGAGGGAGAATATACATCATTTTTTTTCTAAGTCTGTGTTACTTAATATAACAGTTTCTAGTTCCATTTACCTGCAAATTGAATGATTTCATCTTTACTGCTGAGTAAAACTCCATTTTATAAATGAACCACATTTTCATTATCTACTCATCACTTGAGGGACACTTTGGGTTGCTTCCATCTCTTAGCTATTGTGAAAAAAGCAGCAACAAACATGGATGTACAAGTGTCTCTGCAATAGGATGTTCTTTGGGTATATGTCAAGGAGTGGTATAATGGTCAAATGGTAGGTTCATTTGTAGTTTTTTAAGAGATCCCCACACTGCTTTCCATAGGGGTTGAACAAGTTTGCAGCCGCACCAGCAGTGGATGAGTGTTCCGGTTTCCCCACATTCTCTCCAGTATTTGGTATCATTTGTTCTCTTGGTCTTAGGCAGTCTGACTGGGGTAATACGAAATTTTAAGTGGTTTTAAGTTGCATTTCCCTAATTATTAGTGATGTTGAACATCTTTTAAGATGCTTCTTAGCCATTTTACGACGACTTTTGATAACTCTCTGTTCAGCTCCTTAGCCCATCTTTTAATTGGGTTACTTTCTATCTTGATTCTCTGTATTTTGAGTTCATTATGTATTCTGGATGTTGTCAGATGTGTTGCTGGTGAAGATTTTCTCCCATTCTTTGGGTTTTCACTTCCTTGGTTGCTTCTTTTATTGTACAGAAGCTTTTTAGTTTAATGAGGTCCCATTTGTTGATTTTTGACCTTGTTTCCTGAACAATTGATGTCCGGTTTAGAAAATCAATTCCTACACCTATTTCATGTAAGATTTGCCAGTGTTTCTTCTAACAGTTTCAGAGTTTCAGGCTTTACATTGAGGTCTTTGACTCATTTGGAATTGACTTTTGTGCAAGGTGAAAGATAAGGGTTTAGGTTCATTCTTCTACAGGTGGGTGGAGATCCAGTTTTGCCAGCACCGTTTGCTGAACATGTTGTCTTTCCTCCAGTGAATGTTCTTGGCCTTTTGTTAAATATCACATGGCTGAAATTGCATGTACTCATATTTGGGTCTTCATTTTGTGCTGTTGCAATATGGGTCTATTTCTGTGTCAGTACCACGTTTTTATGACTATAACTCTGTAATATAGCTTAAAATCTGGTATAGTAATCCCCCTGGCACTGCTCTTAGTGCTCAGGGTTTCTTTGGCTATCCAAGGTCTTTTGTGCTTCCATATGAATCTTAGTATGGTGTTTTCCAATTCTGTGAAAATTGTCATGGATTTTTGTAGGATGGTCTTTTTCACAATATTAATTTATCCAATCCATAAGCATGGGAGGTCCTTCTGATGTATTCCTCAATCACTTTCAAGATTTAAAATTTTCACTGTCTTTAATGTCTTTTCTCAGGTTTATTTGGAGATTTTTTTGCAGCTATTGTGAAGGGGAGTGTTTCCATGTATTCGTTCTCTGATTGCTTGTTATTGGTATATAGAAAGGCTACAGACTTTTGTCGGTTAATTTTGTAACCTGCCACTTTACTGAATGTGTTAGTAATTTCTAGGAATTTTCTGGTGGAATTTTTGGCATCTCTTAGATATAATACATCATCTGCAAAAAGGGATAATTTGATCTTTTACAATTATTACTCCTTTGATTTCCTGCTCTTATTGCTCTTGTAAATGTTTCAAGCACTATGTTAAAGAGACGTGGAGATAGTGGACAGCCTTGTCTGGTTCCTGATTTCAATGGGAATGCTTCCAATTTTTCTCCATTTAGAATGATGTTGGCTATGGGTTTGTTATATATGGCTTTAATTATGTTGAGGTATGTTCCTTCCAGTCCAATTCCCTCTAGGACTTTGAACATAAATGCATGTTGAATTTTGTTAAAGGTCTTCTCTGAATCTATTGAGATAACCATGTGGTTCTTGTCTTTCAGCCCATTTATATGATTTATGACATTTATTGACTTATGCATATTGAACCATCCCTGCATCTCTGACATAAAGCCGACTTGATCATGGTGGTTGATCTTTTTGATGTGTGTCTGTATGCAGTTTGCAAGTATCTTGTTGAGAATTTTTGCATCTATGTTCATTAAGGATATGGGTCTATAGTTTTCTTTTTTGGTTGTATCTTTACCTGGCTTTGGTATTAGAGTGATGCTGGCTTCATAGAAGGAATTTGGAAGTTCTCCCTCCATTTCTATCTTTTTGAATAAATTAAGGAGTACTGAATGTAGCT